AAAAGAAGATTGTTAGTGGCCTTTGTTTTCTTCTCCAGATATAATCTAATTGGCTTTGGGATGTGTTCAATTAAAGAGTACCATATCACTCTCAAGGTTACAAGCAGGCCTGGGTTTTTGGTGTCAGCTTCCAAGATACAAGAACATCCTAGTTAGGTGAACTCAGCCTCTATTTTGGTTTCTATTTGATCATGTTATGATATTATTCTGACCCTGGCTTCGTAGAATTTAGCTACTCATCAAATCAAAAATCTTGGTCCCATCTGCAAGGATGACAGCAAAATAAGCAGCAAAAGACCCTGTCCTAAAATCTAAAAAGATAGCAAAGTTAAGTAGCAATGCAAGAGTAGTCTATACTCATCCTTCCAAAATAAGAAAAGACAAATTTACACAACCTACAAAACAATCAACAAAATATATTCCAAAAGCAATGGTAAACTTTCAAAAGCCAGATTCAATTGAAAGGTTTCAGGTAAAAGGTTTCTGCAGGTTCTTGGGCACTGCTGCTTGCTATACATTTGGAATAACTGTTTTGTAAGGCAAATCGGCAAAATGTACCAAAAACCTTAAAAAGCTCATTTAAAAAAATTAACAGACTTTATTTTTTAGTGCAGTTTTAGGTTTAAAGAAAAACTGAGCAGAAAGTACAGAGTTCTCATATACCTTTTCTCCCCTCCACTGCAGTTTCCCTTAATATTAATATCTTGTGTTAGTCTAGTACATTTGTTACAACTGATGAGTCAATGTTATAATTGATGAGCTGATGTTGATACATTATCATGAATTGAAGTCCGTAATTTACATTAGGGTTCACTCATGGTATTATACATTTTTGAGTTTGACAAATGTATGACATGCACATATCACCCTAGTATCACACAGAATAGTTTTACTACTTGAAAAATCCCTTATGCTCCTCTCCACCTATTCATCTCTCACACCCTTTCATTACCACCCCCCAGCCACTGACAACCACTGATCTTTTTACATTATCCATTGCTTGCCTTTTCCAAAATGTCATATAGTTGGAATCATACAATATGCAGCCTTTTCATAATGGTTTCTTTCCCTTATCAATATGCATTTAAGGGTCCACCATGTGTGTTCAAGGCTTGATAGCTCATTTCCTTTTAGGACTAAATAATATTGTATCCTATGTATGTACGACAGTTTATTCATTCACCTATTGAAGGAATCTTGATTGCTTCCAAGCTGCTATAAACATTTGTGTGCAGTTTTTTGAGTGGACATAAGTTTTCAACTCATTTGCGTAAATACCCAGGAGCACTATTGCTGGATCATATGGTAAAACAATGTTTAGTTCTATAAGAAACTGCTAAACTATCTTCCAAAGTAGCCATACCATTTCACATTTCCACCAGCAATGAATAAGAGTTCCTGTTGTTTTATATTCTCACTAGCATTTGGTGTTGTATTTTGGAATTTTGCCATTCTAATAAGTGTGCAGTGATATCTCACTGTTGCTTTAATTTGCAGTTCCCTAATGACATATGATGTTGAGCATTTATCTATTCATGCACTTAATTGACCATTTGTATGTATTTTGGTGAAGTGCTTGTTCAGATCTTTTGCCTATTTTTTTAACTGGGTTGTTTTCTTATTCTTGAGTTTTAAGAGTTCTTTGCATATTCTGCAAAGATTTTTGCTCCATCTGTGGCTTGTCTTTTTATTGTCTTAAAGATCCATATTTTTTAATCCATAATTCCATTTCTGAGAACCTATCCTAAGAAAATAATCCTACGTATGGAAAAATGATTTACATATAAAGATGTTTACTGCAACACTGTTTAACGTTTAAAAAACAAACAAAAAAAGAAACCCAAATAAATTCCCTAGTAACAGGTAAGTGTTAAAATACACTTAAATATTATATACACAATAAGTTCTAAAAGAAATACCAAAAACTTAATGCACAATCTTATGTATTTTGCTTTTTCCATTTAAAAATATATCATAAAAATTTTTTCTTTCTTTTACAACTTTGTATACTTCATTTGAAAACATTTTTTCTGATTAGAAGAAATGGTTGTAGGAACATACTCTATGTAACTCACTTTACTCATTCAACGACACAGAGAAAACATTTATCTGTTTTAAAAATAATCATTAACAGAGGGTGTGTGTTTTTATTTACTTATTTATTTATGAGGAGAAAAATGCAAAGGCTTATTGTAAGTTTTTTTTAAGTGGTAAACTACTAAAAAGCTGGAGATCACCAAGCAGTGTCATATTACACACTTCAGAGCAAAGAACTCAGAATTCTGGTTTTTTTCTTGTTTTCAAAAGTTGTTCTGGACTATTCTGTCACCAAAGGTTTTTCTTGTTCCTTTCCTCACATAATATCCAATCTTGAGTTTCCCCTGCCATTACTCTCCCCTTTTTCCCCTTCTCTGAAGCAACGCATAATCCTTTCTTATCTCTTCCAATCTTTTTTTTAATGGATTTTTTTCTTTTATGAAGTATTTTATTATACAAAAGAATATACACAATGTAGAGGTATGTTACAAAATATAATAAAATGAACACCCATAAACCCAGCATCCACTCTAAGAGAATATCGATACTTTCTGGAATTATTTTCCAAGATAAAAAAAGAAAGGAGAGAGAGAGAGAGGGAGGGAGAGGGGGAGAGAGAGAGAGAGAGAGAGGGAGGGAGGGAGGGAGAATGAATATCAGTACCATTGAAGCTAGCTGTGTGATCATCTGGAGTCCCATACCCTTACCCTGGAGGTAACTACTCATCTGAATTGTGTTTACTGGTCATTTCCTCGCTTTCCTTTAAAAATTTTACCTCTTGTATATTGTAATATACTTGTATTCCAGAAAGCTTCTATCAACTTACTATCCCACCAAAAGTGTTCCATTCTCTTCACATTCACTTTTGATGGGTCATTTTTTTAAAGCTTTAGGTAAAACATAATTTTCTATTAGTCACACAATAACCCATCTTTCTGATGACTAAAGATTCCTGTGTAAGGTTTGTAAGCACCAAGTAGAGCTTTGCAAAAACCCAAAGATAGCAAACCTAAGAATGCTCCATAAAAGTGTGCTTTGTGGTGGCGATGTAAACTGGTAAGATTTAAATATCTGAATGTAGCTTAGTGAAGAGGTTCCCAAAAATTAATACACAAGTTTTGACCAGTCCACAGAAAAATCAGAAAAAGGACAATGTGGTGAGCCCTTTCACAGAGCTACATGCATTCAATTTAAAAAACTATTCCTTATTCTGAAATTATCCTAATTTCTTGGAATTGAAATGAGTTTTCTTTATAAAATGACAGGAGATGGCAAGTATTTTTTGGTTGCTGTTCGTGTGATCTTTTTTTTTTTTAAATTAAAATTCAACTTAGTTCGCCAAATAAAAAGTTGAAACCTTATGTTGTACCCAAAGTCACAGTTATCTGAAATTGTATTGACCCACAAAATCCCAAAACTTGGGAAGCACTGGATTAGGAGTCTTTAAATCTGAGGAACTTGAAAACTCTGATCTTGAGCCTTCCTTCCCTTTAGTCAGAGTAAAAATGAGAAGAAATTAATGACTTCTCCTTGTCTGTACTTCTGGCATTATTTCTTGAATTCTCCAGTTTAAGAAAAACTATAATAAATGGAGAAGATTGGGAAACATGGAATATAACCAATGATCAACTTCATAAATTTCACCAATGATTAGCTTTGCAATATTAGGAAAACATTTTAACCTCACTATGGCACAGACTCCCTGTTTTTACTTGTGTACAATAATACCTATAACCTATATTACCAATAGCCCATCACTTCCTGGGATGGAAGGACTAATTGAGGCCAGTCTAAAAACATAATAAAACTTTCAGCTTTATGGAAGATATGGTCTATATCACTTCAAGATGTTATTTACATTTACACAGGATTTTAGGCATGTTATACATACAAGTAGAAACATCAATTATTATGTCTGTCTAAGACCTGAGTACAGAACCAGCACTACTATTTGCGAAATACATTTCAGCTCAAAATAACAAGGTTGTCTAAAAATGTAACAGGAAAGGAAAAAGTCCTCAACCTCATTATGTAATTAAGAAAATATAATTAAGACCACAATATGATACTATTATAAACCCACCAGATTGGCTAAAATTAAAAAGACTGACAACACCAAATATTGCAAGAATGTAGAGCAATGGGAACTCTCATATATAGCTGGAGAGCCTATAAATTGGTATAATCACTTTAGAAAAGAGTCTGACAATATTAAGTATGACTGAAGATCCATATACCCTAGAACTTAGCAATTCTATTCCAGATACATAACCTAGAGAAACTCCTGTACATGTGTACCAAAAACATGAAAAATGTTCAGAGCGAAATTGTGCATAATACCCCCAAACTGGAAACAGTGTACATATCCACACACACCACAACAAATAAAGACAATAGGGTTTACTGAACCCTATAAGGCCAATGGACAAACTATGCAGCTACATACATAATACTACTCAACAAGAAAAATATATATGACTCCACCTACATAAAGTTCAAAACCAAATAAAAGTATTCAATATGATTTGGGTGACAAGCTAAAGGGGGTGGGGGGGATCAAGGAAACCATTACCACAAAACATAGGAGAGAGGTTCTCTCAAGGGAGGAGAAAGTGATTATGATCCAGAAGGGACAAATCGGGGGCCTCTGAGATCTAGCAATATTCTACTTCTTGACGTGAGAAGTGTTACACAGCCATTTGCTTTATAGTTATTTTCTTTAAAACTGTTCGTATGCTTTATATAATCATTTTTATAAAAATGATATATCTTACCAAAAAATTTTAAGGAGCTACTTCTTGTTGTAGTAGATGTCCTATCATATGATATGTTAAACTAGAGGCTAATGGTCCACATATGACAGCTGTTATAACAGGAAATCAAGCACTGGTCAAGAAAGAATGTGGACTAGATGGCCATCAGATTCCTGTTAATTCAGAGATTTTATGAATCTATATTCATACCTTGTAACGATGATTTTTATGAACACTCTTCTGGAAGCAGTCCATACAGAGTACACATGTTGGATCAATTGCACAGTCTCTGAAAAAGATCGAAAATTAGATTCCAATTTAGATGACTCCCATTGCTGCTTAAGGTATGACTATAATATAAAGTGAATGAGTTTCCTACATGGTGCACAAACTGACTATGAAAATGTTTCAAAAACTGAATTCCAAAAATATTTAAAAAAAAGACAACACTGACAGCATAATTTTAGCCTCATTTTAGACATATTTGAGTGTAAAGTTTGAATATTTGATTTTGTTAAATTCATCCTCATAACTTTGAGACTTCACCTGGTTTCCTGCCTTGGTTTGTGTTTGTTTGTTTTTTGGTAGCTGGCCGGCAAAGGGCTCTGAACCCGTGACCTTGGTGTTAAAAGGCTACGCTCTAACCAACTGAGCTAACTGGCCAGCTGGTTTCAAACTTGTTATAATTCAAAATCAGTTTTGTGAAAAATGATCAATTTTTTTCCATTATCTGCCATCATCTTACCCTACTACATTTATAAATATATTTTACAAATTCTGATTGCTCGTTGTTAAACTGGATAAAGACAAAATTCATTGGAATGCATGCAACATAAGGGCAGGGATTTTTATTTATTTTGACATTGATGTGTCCCAAACACCTAGAACAGTGCCTGGCACATAGTAGATACTCAATATTTACTGAATAAATAGAATAAATTTAATCCCTCTTAACCTCTTCCTATAACAACTTTTAAAATGTAATATTTTATTTAACATTTTCGGGGAAACATTAAGAACAATATAAATTAGTGCAAAGTACAGGATTAATTTTTAAAGTATTTTAAAGTATTTTATTTTGAAGAGATGAAATTATGAAGTTTTAAAATGAAATTTAAAAGGCTAATAGGAAATAAAGGTTGTTTAATAATATTCTATAAAATACGTATGATTTCTGAACTATTTAAAACAGGATTTCTCAACCTCGGCATTATCGACATTTTGGACCAGATTATTTGTTGGCAGTAAAGGGGACTGTAGGATGTTTAGCAGCAACCTTGGCCTCTACCCAATAGATGTCAGTACCAACCCCTGGTTGTAATAATTAAAAATGTTTCCATGAAACTTTTGGAGACATGAGGTCTATAAATATCCACTATGCCTTAGTTAAAACTGATTGGATTTACCTAAAAATACATAAGAAAATAAATGAAACTTACTATATGATACATAGCTAAATAGTACATAAAATGTAGAAACTAATTTTTTTTCCAAGAACTGTATAAAAAAGAAAATATGTTCTAAACGACTTTTACCTATACATACACCAGTTAAGCCTAGGATTATAGTCTAAAAATTCACACTCCTAACCTGAACTACCTCTAATGAAGGAAGAAAACTAAAAGTGCTGCTAAGATCTAAAAGTTGAAAATTTCAGGCAGGGGTAGGGAGTAAAAAGTTTTCTGTATTACCATGATGTTTAAGGAAACTGCTTTTACAAAGAACAAAAAGCTTAAAGCTGCTTCCACTTTTCCTACCACTGGACTTTTCTATTCGACTAAATTCCAACTATTCCTACAGGCCCACAATATCATACCCACAATTCTAAAATACAAAAAGTCCTGAAAAAGAAAGGTTTTGTTTTTCTGTAGGTTTTGCACTAAATCTCACTTGATGGCAAAAAATGACCTGACCTGACACAAGACTTTATTTATACTAATTACTGTGAATATTCATAGATTTCTTACAGAAATGTGATGTTTGATTACAGGGTCCTGCTCTGACTCTGCTGGAGAAGTATTCAGGATTTTGAAATGCAGATGGCCCCAAGGGTTTCAGATAAGAGTGTGTCAACTACATTATAAACAAGGCAAAAATCTATCACATATACTTTTGGAGAACAGGAAGAAAAAGTGAGAGAGCTGATTAACTAGAAGTCATATATTCAGAAATAAGCTGTAATAGCAAAAACATACGTATAAGTGTACAGAAAAAGGAAGCTAATGAAGTAGAATTAAATATATTATAAATAGTAACAAACCAAGAAAGGTACATCACGAAAGAGGTACAAAATACCAACACTGTAATTACAACAAATCTATAAATTTCTAATTCTTACCTACAAGAATATGTTGTCTCTCCACTTTTGAAAATTATAAATAGTAACAAACCAAGAAAGGTACATCACGAAAGAGGTACAAAATACCAACACTGTAATTATAACAAATCTATAAATTTCTAATTCTTACCTACAAGAATATGTTGTCTCTCCACTTTTGAAAACCTTCCCACAGAGTTGAAATGCTCCACTATGCTTCAATTTCTCTAAGCAAATATCTGGATCTTCTCCAAACAAGTACCATTCCAATGGAGTGAATATTGACATTTGTACACTCTCTTCCTGCTTTTCTGAGTCTGGGTCCATTTCAGCAAAATAAATTTCTGGCACCAATTGTGCCAAATGATGCAAGAAAGCAGTATAAAAATCAATTTGCTGATCCCACACCTGAAGAAAAGAAGACAAAGATTAGACTTTCTTACAAGTTCCTTCTTAAAGATCTAGTAGCAAAAATAATGGTATAATTCTGTAACTTCAAAGTAATTTATTACATATTTTATCTGTCACCTATACAAAAGGAAAGTGGGTGATTAAAAAAAAAAATTTAACATTGGAAATAAGCAGTTGCCCACATATCACAGCTGAAAAAAAGAAGAGCAGCTGTAGTAGATGAGAATTACCCTTCCTTGTAGAATGGCCAACTCCTGCTATGTAAAGGTGATCCTATTATCATAAACTGTACAGACAAAGCATTCCCCATACTCTTAGTTTGTTTTAGGGAATCATAGTGTTTAATGAGATCAAAATGAATGTAAGCCAGAGTTCTCTGGACAAAAAAAGCATCATCCATGAAAGAAAGAAAAAAAAAAGGATAAATTGGACCTCATCAAAAATAAACATTTTGCTCTTCAAAAGCAATTATTACAGATGGCTTATTTGCACATGAAAACATGCTCAACATCTTTAGTCATTAGAGAAATGCAAATTAAAATGACAATGATATACCCCTACATAGCCTATTAAAGTGGCTAAAATTAAAGACTGGCAAAGGGCCGGCCTGTGGCTCACTGGGGAGAGTGTGGTGCTGATAACACCAAGGCCGTGGGTTCAGATCCCTATATAGGGATGGCCAGTTAAGCTCATTTGGGAGAGTGTGGTGCTGATAACACCAAGGCCGTGGGTTCAGATCCCTATATAGGGATGGCCAGTTAAGCTCATTTGGGAGAGTGTGGTGCTGACAACACCAAGTCAAGGGTTAAGATCCCCTTACCTGTCATCTGTGGAGGAAAAAAAAAAAAAAAAGATTGGCTATACCAAATGCCAAAAAAGATGTAGAAAAGTTGAAAAGGAAAGTGCTGGTGGGAATTCAAAATGGTACAGCCACTTTACAAAGGAGTTTGACAGTTTCTTATAAAGTGAAACATACACTCACCATACATATATGGCCCAGCAGTCAAACTACTATTTACCCAAGAAAGGAAAACTTATGTTCACTCAAAAACTTGTATGCAAATGTTATAGCAGCTTGATTTATAATGGCCAAACACTGGAAATATCCCAACTGTCCTCCAACTGATAAATTAATAAACAAACTGTGGTACATCTAAACAATTGAATACTACTCAGCAATAAAAGTAGTACAAAGTAGTATCAACACACACAACATCATGGACAATCTCAAAATGCATTACTGTTAAAGAAGTCAAATCCAAAAGGCTATGTACTGCCTCTTTTTTTTTTTTGTGACTGGTAAAGGGATCGCAACCCCTGGCTTGGTGTTGCCCGCACCACGCTCAGCCAGTGAGCGCACCAGCCAACCCTATATAGGATCCAAACCTGCGGCAGGAGCGCTGCTGCGCTCCCAGCGCCGCACTCTTGAGTGAGCCACGGGCTCAGCCCTGTACTGCCTCTTAGTAGATGGGACCATGTTGAGAGCATCTGTGTGAATTAAGCAAAGCCCATCTCTGTTTGTGCCAAATTCCTGATTCTCACAATCGGTGAGTTTAATAGCCACTATATGCAGATTTCTATAACACCACCATTTTGCTCTTATCTTCAACCAAACAAGGAATCTTTTTAGGTATTCAAGCATTTAACAGAGCATTCTCTGTTAAAAATAGACATTTGGGGGCCGGCCCGGTGGCACACTGCTGCAGTGCGCCACTTGGGAAGCGCGGTGGCGCTCCCTCCGGGGGTTCAGATCCCACATACAGACCGTTCCCGCTCACTGGCTGAGCAAGGTGCGGGTGCAGCGCCGAGTGTTGCGATCCCGTTGCCGGTCCTGGTCCGGTATGGGCGCGACACTGAGGGTTGCGATCCGTTGCCGGACACGAAAAAAGACAAAAAGGAAAAAAAAAAAAAAAAAAAAAAAAAAATAGACATTTGGGAATTACTGGCAGTTTGGGCTTAAAGGTGAGGTCTGATTACCCTAAACCATTCAACCAGCCCAACATTATTAATGCCACTCTGTACAGCAGGCTCAAGTGAACAGAGACTGGGGAAACAAAGAGAGCTGAGGGCATAGCTCTCTATTATCAACCCAACATTGGCAATTTAATTGCAGTTAACATCCTTCCAATTAAATTAACACTGTCCATCTGAAATTGGTTCACCTTCTGGTTTTATTAGCATTTCATGTTTGTTTTACAGTTATGTAAAAACTGTAAGTATAAAGTATTTAAACTTAGTTTTATATTTGTGTACATTTAAGTTACAGTCTAATTAAAATAATTTAAATTTTTAAAAAAGCTAAAAATGTTTCCATTTATATGACATTCTGGCAAAGGCAAAACTACTAGAGACAGAGAACAGCACAGCAGTTGCGAGGGGTTGAGTGTGGGGCAGGGTTGACTACAAAGTGGCAGAGATGGAATTTTTTTTTTTTTCCTTTTTGTCTTTTTTTTGTGTCCGGCAATGGATCGCAACCCTCAGTGTCGCGCCCGTAGCGGACCGGGACCGGCAAGGGGATCGCAACCCTCAGTGCTGCACCCGCACCTCGCTCAGCCAGTGAGCGGGAACCGGTCTGTATGTGGGATCCGAACCATAGGCGGGAGCGCCGCCGCGCTCCCAAGCGGCGCACTGTAGCAGTGCGCCACCGGGCCGGCCCTGGAGATGGAATTTTTGAGAGCAAGAGCACTGTTCTGTATCTGTATTGTGGTGGTGGTCTCCCAACTATTGGCAGTTGTCAACACTCACAAAACTGTACAACAATAAAGAGTAATTTATTTTATGTAAATTTAAAAAGTGAATAAAAAAGGACATAGTTTTAAAAAATGAGGAGAGCCACCGATTGACAGAAAAGTATATGCAAGAATACACTGAATGTTTTCCCCCAAAGATCAGTGCTGTGGATTGATTGAATTGTGTCCCCCAAATTTCATATATTAGAATCTTAATCCCCATTGTAAGTGTTGAGGGTGGAAAATCTATTATGCTAATTGAAAGGTGGGGCCTTAAAGAGGTGATGAAATTATAGGACCACACCATAGTGAATGGATTAAAAATGGTGGTCATGGGCATAGTTTGGAGGGTTTCAAAAGATGAGCACAAAGAGTCTGTCTCTCTCTGCTCCCTTTGCCATTTTTGCAATATCATAGCCTGCTTTTACTGTTACTACCACCAAGGGCTTCACCAGCTGTGTTCCCTGGACTTTGGACTTCCCAGCCTCAGAAACTGTAAGCAACAAATTTCGTTTTCTTTATAAAATACCCAGTTCCATGTTTTTTGTTATAAGCAACAGAAAAAGACTAATACAATCAGAAAATAGGCAATTTCCTATTCAATACTGTACTGGAAGCCTTGGTTAGTGTAATAAGACAAAAAAAGAAAAAGAAAAAAGAGAAAAGAAAAAAAAGGCATGATTGGAAAGGAAGAAATAAAACTCTATTTACAGATGACATTATCATCTTCTCAGAAAATTTCCTAAGGAATCACACACACACACACACACACAAATTTTAAGTGAATTTAGCAAGCTCACCAAATATAAGATCAATGTACAAAAACCAATTCTGTCTATATACTAAAAACAAAAATTGGAAAATAAAAATTTTTAAAAAACCATTTACCATAGTATCAAAAAACGGAAAATATCTGGGCATAAATTTAACAAAAGATGTATCTCTATACTGAAAAACAAAACATTGAGATAAATTTCTAAAAGAGCTAAATAAATGAAGAGATATACCACATTCATTGATTATAAGACTGAATATTAAGATGTCCATACTTCCCAAATTGATCTATAAATTCCACACAATCCCAGCAAACTTTCTGTAAAAATTAACAAGCTGATTCTAAAATGAATATGGAAATATAAAGGACCTAAAAGAGATATGTAGTACCTGATTTCAAGACTGACTATAAAGCTATACTAATTGAGACAGTGCTGTATTAGCATTGTCAGACATAAATATCAATGGAACAGAAGAGTCCAAAAATCAATCTACACATACATAATCAATTGATTTTTGAAAAGGAACCAACCTAATTTGAAGGAGAAAAGATAGTTTTTTCAAAAGTGGTGCAGGAGCAATTAGATATCATTAGCTCAGTTGGTTAGAGCATGGTGTTGTAACATCAAGGTCAAGGGTATAGATCTCTATACTGGCCAGCCACCAAAAAAATCTTATTTTGGTTAAATATATGTATATTTACATAGCAAAAAACCATGAGGAATAGATAGTAAAATGTTAACAGGGGTGGGTGATGAATTTTAGTATATTTTCATTGAATTTGTTTGTCATGCAATATATTTACAGTGATTCCATATTTGAGGAGTAATTTTGTAATTGTAAGATTAAAAACATTTTGCTAAAACCTTTTTTAAAAACTATACCTTCCAGTACTCCAATTCCAACTTTTCTAGGATACTCACAGACCAACAGCTTGTTTTCTCCATACACCTGGCAACACCTTCAACTACCAGATAGATAATATTTAATGTTTTGTGCTATACCCAAGGTTCTTTTCTTCAAACAGTACTAAACGAAAAAAAAAAAATCCTGTATATTCAGTGCTACAAATCAAACAAAAAACCTTTCTATCCTACCCAGTAACAGAAGGCATGGAACTAGTTATTTTCACATTCTCTTTTCAAGAACAGGAGAAACTTGAAAGTCACCAAAGACCCATAGGATCTTCCTGTACAAGCCCCTCATTTTATAGATGAGAAAACTGAGTCACAAGAAGTAAATTGATTTATCCAAGATCATGAAATAACCAGTTAATATCAGAGTCAGGAACAGAAGCAGGTATCCTAACTCCTAGAGTTCAGTGCTCCTTCTACAAACCAATAATAAATATACAGTTCTTTTAAATTTACCCTTACTGACTTGTTCAATTTCACATTAACAGTAAAACAAAACATTGACTTCTTTCTAATCTTTTCCTCTAAATGAAGTCTCTTTGCTAACAACTGCCTAATATTTCTGAATACTACTAAATAT